CCCCAAATTTATTATTATTAGCACCATTGATTTATCAAAAATAAAATAATAGCGTAGATTAAAAATATTATTTACTTACCACAATAGCTATTCCGTCTACATCAGCTTTGTTTAGGAGGAGGAGGATACGGCGGCAGCAGCGGCGGCGGCGGTGCACGGTAAGTACCTATAGATATTAACAATAAGAACTAATAAGCGCAAAGTAATTAGATGCAATTCAAAAGGAAAAAGTTTAGGTAAACAAAGTTGACTTCGGCAAACATCGGTTGTTATCGTAAGCGCGCTGGGGTGTGGCACTGTCCTTTGTCGCGCGCGCGCAAGCCCTACTAATTAATAGTTTATAGGATAGTTTAGCAAAAATGGTAATAAAATATATACGTATAGCTCAATGATTTATTATAAAAACATAACGATTAATTAATTTAAGAGTATTGGGAATCAAAACAAAGATTAAATGTCAAACGCCAACTATGTCATAAGTGGTACGCCAAAACCGAACATCGCGCAAGCTCCAAAGTAAACAGAAAAAAATTAAAAATATGTACATATTATAATGCAAAACATAACGATTGTGAGGGGTATTGAAATTAATTTAAGAGCATTAAACCAAAAGACATTTCTTTACTAAAAGATTAAAAGTATTAAGTCAAACGTCAATTAGGTGTAAGCGCAAGCTCCAACAGAAATTTTTAAAAATACAAGGACAATAGCCCATCGTTTAACTTCGGTAAACAGCGGCTGTCAAACGTCAAAATTACGCGCCAAAATCAATAGGGTGTGGCAGAACTATCTAAATTTTCACACAAGTCCGAAACAAACAGAAAAAAATTAAAATCTAACGCAAAACATAACGATTAATTTAAGAGTATTAAATTAAAACAAAGATCAAACGTCAAACACTGGCGCTAAAATTACTAGGTGTGGCGCGCAAGCTCCAAAATAAATAGAAAAATCTAATGCAAAACATAGTGATTAATTAATTAATTTAAAAGTATTAAGTCAAATGCCAACTAGGTGTAAGCGCAGACTCCAAATAAACAGAAAAATTTAAAAAATATGTACAAGTACTTAACGCTATAAGAATAAAAATTTAGAGATGAGACTAAAAAGCAGACAGTTCTGAGAATCTATCAACAAAAATAATTTAAAAAAGTATTAAGTCAAACGTCAACTATGTCAACTAGGTGTGGCTCTAGGCACAAGCTCCAACAGAAAAATTTTAAAAAATATAATATACGAGGAGATGGCTTTTTTTGACACACATTCAAGTTGGCACACAATGCAAGCGACATTCACCCGAGCGAAAAACGATCCTATCCGACTCAGACCGATCTCCAATCCACGTTTTATTAGGAATGGGCGTTTATATCGATAAAAATTTGACTAATAAAAGCAGAATGCAGAATGAAATGTATTTTGGCCATTTTTTAACTAACGTGCCTGATTAGTTTTTCAATTTTGATGATATCCAATGATACCTAAACATGCAAATCACCTAAAAATAGCCATAGCGCCATATCTGTAGTACTTCTTTTAACTGAAATGTTAGGTTCAATTTTTGAATAATTACGAATTAAATAAAAGACATGCACTTTTACAGTGAATGCGTTATCAGTATTATTGTTCACAATTTGGTGTAAATTTTTGTGAATTTGAAATAATAGGTAGGTATATGTGTAAATATAATATATAACAAATAATAAATTTGGATTAATTTGTTATTTCGTTATAACATCCATATCCATATTTTACTCGGAGGTAGTCGGTGTATTTTATGGAATAATAATTGTTATTTAAAAATGTAAAAATTTCAATGTCTGATTTAATCTTCTCTCTCTCTCTCTCTGCTCTCTGTCTTTATTCCTACAAGAATGTAGTGGTCAGGTGATGTGTGAGGTTTGTCTCCATAATTCCCGGTCTTGTGCTTCACGTACAAGCGTGTGCAGCGGCTTGCTCTTTGATAGCTGGTCTATCCATCGGGAGGGCGAGCGGCATCTTGGTCTTTTTTCTGGAACCTTACACTGTATAATGAGTTTTTCCATACAGTCAGATTTAATCTTCTAAGGTACCTATATATATATATATATATATATAATATTATATATATATATATATATATATATATATATATATATATATATATATATATATATATATATATATATATATATATATATATATATATATATATATATATATATATATATATATATATATATATATATATATATATATATATATATATATATATATATATATATATATATATATATATATATATATATATATATATATATATATATATATATATATATATATATATATATATATATATATATATATATATATATATATCTATATATATATATATATATATATATATATATATATATATATATATATAATATAAGCTAATTTTTATTTCTTTCTCTCAGTCTCTTCCGGAAGTGTTGCTGAAGAACCGTCTTCTAACAGGCACACGTCATACTATGAAAGGATCTAGCTTTCTACTTCTTTAGGGACCACTTGGAGACTTAGCTAGTTTTCTTTAGAAGCTAATTTGATACTAGACAAAGATGTGTCAAATGAAATGCTGGTTTATAAACTTATCGACAGCCTATATAGTTTTTGACGTACCTCGAAATTTTAACAGCTTAAAAGTTCTATTTTTAAGCTGTTAAATTTTTTTACAAATTAAGTTTTAGAAAAAATGGTTGGAGTTGGTTAGGCTTTTTTTATTCCCAATTTCAAGTATGAGTGTTTTAACATCCTGTACCTTAATATTCAAAATCAAAGCACGCATCCTCTATACATAAAAGTTAAAATAAAACACTAATTTTAATGAAAATAAATATATTACATTATATAAGAATATTCGGACAATTCGAACTATAATACAAATTGCTAAAATATTTAATATTGCAATATGAAAAAATAACATAAATAACATAAATCATTTTTATCACTCAATGAGACAAGATTATACAGGATGAGTCTTAAATAAGTGCAAATATTTTCAGTGCTAGTATAGATCTCTATAAAAGAACCATATTTTCTCTTCACCGATTTTCAATTAAGTCCAAAATAATTGAGTTATTTTACTGTGAAGATTAAAAAAAAAGAATGATTTTATGCTTGAATTTTTAGTAGGTGTAGGTACTGGATATTTTCTGAGTTTTATTTCTGATTATTTTATCTACTACCTAATAGCCAATATTATCAAGATATTACGTTTTTTAACTAAAAATTCCAAAAAATTAAAAATTTTTCAAAAAAAGTCCCTCGTAGACGCGTTTCTCGAGTCGAAATATACTACCTCTAAAATATTTGCACTTATTTAAGACTCACCTTGTATATAAGTATTTTTGTTATTTTTTACAATAACTGAGAAACGTTTTTTCAGTAAACTGGAACAGTTTTAAAATATACGATATATGAAAAAAAATCAAGCAAAAGAAAATTTTATATAACTTTGAAATGTTTTACTGCATATAGAACATAAACTAATAGAGTTATTTACAGGGAGTTAAAATTTTTGCCGCAATATGGCTAAATATCTGCGTAAACTTTCGCAACCGGCAGAAAGTAAATATAAAATTTCAATAACCAAACTAAACCAAACCAAAATTAAGATAGGTAAACTAATATATAATTATTGTATCCATCATACGATCGAAAAAAAACGGCGTCATATACGTATAATAAATATAAAATAATTTATTATAAAATCAACGTAAGCAAAACCACATACGATTATTGCTAGTTGCTTTAACCTGGATGCGTGTCTATAAAAAAGATATGATCAAATGCAAGGAATTATATGTATAGAAAATTGGTATGCCTTAACCACGTGACAATTTCTACAATAAATCTGTAACACAAATAGGTATATAGAGTTCCTTTGAAAGCGGTAGATTTCTATTGTCGATATTTATTTTAATTTTCACTGTAAAAATAAAATAAATAAAGACATTGGAAGTCCAATTTGGGATTCAAATATACAGAATATTTCAATAACTGACAGAAGATTTTTTTATTGGATTTTATATTGGATGAGTATACATACTCAATGACGATAAATATATTTAATTATTTGTCAAAAATATAGAAATTTATTTAACGTTGGGTTGTAATTTTCTATCTTCCGCAATCATTCATCATCCCTGCTAACTTTAAGTAAACTAAACCTAAGGAAACAGAGAGTGCAATGCGTAGAGTATATATATATATATATATATATATATATATATATATATATATATATATATATATATATATATATATATATATATATATATATATATATATAAATATTTTCAGGGGTGGTATATTTCGACCCCAGGAACACGTTTATGAGTTTTTTTTCGCAAAAAAAAGATGTCGAAAATCGTGCATTTTCTTTTAAGTTTCCTTGTATATTTTTCGAAAACTTTTTAGAACTGCCTGTTCACCGCAAATTTTCCCACAGTATAATTTCTTAATCTCTGATATTACCATAGTTATGGCTTTACTCCAGGTTACGGCACTAAAAGGGATGCAAATACAGAAAAAATCCGGTGGCTCTCAAATTTTTTTCAAAAAAAATCAATTTTTTAAAATTTTCAAACTTAAATAACTCGGTTATTTTAGACTTATCTGAAAAATGGTAAAGAGAAAATATATGTTTCTTTTATCGATATCTACCAGCCCTGAAAATAGTTGCACTTATTTAAGACTCACCTTGTATATAATTTTGATGTCACTCAAACTATTTATACAAAAAGAAAAATCATGCAAATATAGAGTATTTCAACAAACGACAATGATTATTTTTGGCATTTTTTTCTTCAACAAACTAAAAATATTTTTAATTTTTAATCATTTGTCCAAAAATATACAAATTTCTACTAGCTTTTTAGTTACGACGTAATTTACAGTTTTCCGCATTCATTGAAATTCTCGTAGAATTTTAAATATACTAAATTTACACATATACTAAATTTAAGATACAAAGATACAGAGGGATAGGTTCACCGTGCAGTTCTGCTGTACATATTCAACACTTAGCAGCTTGGACATTAAGTAAGGTAGCTGTACAAGTCATGCAGAATGCATGCCCACATATACCATAACATATTGCACCTTATTCATATAGCAAACTAGGGAACTCATTGCAGACGTAGAAAGATCGTCGAATAAAGTGGTCGGAATCGTTGGTCCCCAACCTTGAAAAAGCCATAATATTATAACTTATAATATTAATAATAATATATGAAATAAATGTTATGAAAATTTATTTAGAAATTTTGCCTTTCAGCTGTGTGGGTAATAACCTACGACTGTACTGTTAATAATATACTTACGACGTTCGACGATCCGATCCAAATCATCCTCATTGCCTAACTCAGCAAATAATATTCTATTTTTTTCTGGAATTGGGGGAAATTGAAAAGCCGGAGGAGTGCTATTCTGAACAATTTGAGGTGGTGATGGAGGCCGAACATCGTAACCTACGACGTTTCACAATCATTGAAACTGTCGTAAAATTTTAAATATACTAAACCTAAAGGTACAGAGGGAGAGATTCACCGTGCAGTTCTGCTCTACACATTGCACACTAAGCAACTTGGACATTGAAGAAGGTAGCTGTACAAGTCGTGCAGAATGCATGTCCACATTCCATAACATATTGCACCTTGTTCAAATAGCAAACTAGGCAGCGCAGTGGAGGTGACATAGAAAGATCGTCAAATACAGTACCCGGAATCGTTGGTTCTCAACCTTTAAAAAACTATAATATTATAACTTATAGTATTAATAATAATATATCAAATAAATGTTACGAAAATTTATTTAGAAATTTTGCCTTTCAGCTGTGTGGGTAATAACCTACGACTGTACTGTTAATAATATACTTACGACGTTCGACGATCCGATCCAAATCATCTTCATTGCCTAACTCAGCAAATAATATTCTATTTTTTTCTGGAATTGGGGGAAATTGAAAAGCCGGAGGAGTGCTATTCTGAACAATTTGAGGTGGTGATGGAGGCCGAACATCGTAACCTACGACGTAATTTACAGTTTTTCACAATCATTGAAACTTTCGTAAAATTTTTAAATATACTAAACCTAAAGATACAGAGGGAGAGGTTCACCGTGCAGTTCTGCTCTACACATTGCACACTTAGCAACTTGGACATTGAATAAGGTAGCTGTACAAATCGTGCAGAATGCATGCCCACATTGCATAACATATTGCACCTTATTCAAATAGCAAACTAGGCAGCGGAGTGCAGGTGACATAGAAAGATCGTCGAATACAGTGACCGGCATCGTTGGTTCCCAACCTTTAAAAAACAATAATATTATAACTTATAATATTAATAATATATGAAATAAATGTTACGAAAATTTATTTAGAAATTTTGCCTTTCAGCTGTGTGGGTAATAACCTACGACTGTACTGTTAATAATATACTTACGACGTTCGACGATCCGATCCAAATCATCTTCATTGCCTAACTCAGCAAATAATATTCTATTTTTTTCTGGAATTGGGGGAAATTGAAAAGCCGGAGGAGTGCTATTCTGAACAATTTGAGGTGGTGATGGAGGCCGAACATCGTAACCTACGACGTAATTTACAGTTTTTCACAATCATTGAAACTTTCGTAAAATTTTAAATATACTAAACCTAAAGATACAGAGGGAGAGGTTCACCGTGCAGTTCTGCTCTACACATTGCACACTTAGCAACTTGGACATTGAATAAGGTAGCTGTACAAATCGTGCAGAATGCATGCCCACATTGCATAACATATTGCACCTTATTCAAATAGCAAACTAGGCAGCGGAGTGCAGGTGACATAGAAAGATCGTCGAATACAGTGACCGGCATCGTTGGTTCCCAACCTTTAAAAAACCATAATATTATAACTTATAATATTAATAATATATCAAATAAATGTTACGAAAATTTATTTAGAAATTTTGCCTTTCAGCTGTGTGGGTAATAACCTACGACTGTACTGTTAATAATATACTTACGACATTCGACGATCCGATCCAAATCATCTTCATTGCCTAACTCAGCAAATAATATTCAATTTTTTTTCTGAAATTGGGGGAAATTGAAAAGCCGGAGGAGTGCTATTCTGAACAATTTGAGGTGGTGATGGAGGCCGAACATCGTAACCTACGACGTAATTTACAGTTTTTCACAATCATTGAAACTTTCGTAAAATTTTAAATATACTAAACCTAAAGGTACAGAAGGAGAGGTTCACCGTGCAGTTCTGCTCTACACATTGCACACTTAGCAACTTGCACATTGAATAAGGTAGCTGTACAAGTCGTGCAGAATGCATGCCCACATTGCATAACATATTGCACCTTATTCAAATAGCAAACTAGGCAGCGGAGTGCAGGTGACATAGAAAGATCGTCGAATACAGTGACCGGCATCGTTGGTTCCCAACCTTTAAAAAACCATAATATTATAACTTATAATATTAATAATAATATATCAAATAAATGTTAATATTAATAATAATATATCAAATAAATGTTACTTGTTTATACTTCATGTGGGTAATAACAAATATACTTACGATGTTCGACGATCCGATGAAAATTATCTTCATTGTCAAATGCAGCAAATAATATTCCAATTTCTTCTGGAATTGGAGGAAATTGAAAAGCGGGAGGAGGAGTGCGATTCTGAACAATCTGAGGTGGCGATGGAGGTCCAACATTTTCTAAATCTTGAGGGGGGTCTACAGGACGGTTCGGTAGTGGTAGGATAGGACTCGGTACACGTACAGGTGGATCTACATTAAAATAAACTAAAGGTGGTGGTGAAGCAGGAACATTTTGTTGAGGTTGAAAAAAAATAAGTGGAGGTGGTGAATTATTTGGCTCTAAAAGGTGGGGATTTTGCAAGATTGGGTCAAGGTTAAGTGGCTGGATAGGTTCTGGAACGGGATCTTCTATGTCGAGAACATCCTGAACATCTCCATTCCATTCGTTTATTTGTCTATCCAAACGCTCCACAAGATGGACAGAATGCCGAAGAAAATCCGCCATACTGAATCGCCCATCGTCCAATTTATCCCAGGCTAAATTCAGTCTAGCGTTAAAGAAAATATTTTTTCGGGCAATCCTGAACACTGTTGCGTTCCTCTCCAACTGCATCAATTCAATTACTGCCGTGTTCTGTATGTCGATAAGTATTTCTGAAAATTGAAATAGTTATATACAGAGTAGCTATTTTATAAAGTTTGTCGAGGCAACATCTCTAAGGATTATTTAGGGCAGTCTTAAACACTCAACCTTAATAAGATATTATTTATAGACCCTATTTAAAGTTTCTTTAGCGATTAGGCCCGGTTGTACAAACTTAAAAAAATAAAGTCGGGATCATGTGAACTTCGATAAACACTGAGCTCGGCAATTTTACTTAGGTATTGTTGTATTTGGTGTATTTTTTGTGGTGTACAAAGATTATTAAAAACCTAGTTTAAGCCTCAAAAACGGCTCTTTTTTGAACTTGGTGTAAGCCTGGACCGAGTATGTACAACCGGGTCTTAATGTGTTAAGATTAGAAAAATGTTTTATTGCCAAACAAACTTTAAAGAAAAAACACGAAAATCATGTGAACATTATTACATACGTATCAAATCCCATACACCGGGATGCCGGACTAACTTGCTATTGAGTCGCCGATGGTACGACTCCATAACATTGTTAGTCCGGTGTCGCTGCCTATAGACACTTAAATGGTCAGGAGTGATTCGTTCTATCCACTGCCTCCTTACGTACACATGCAGCTCTCTGAATATGTCATTGAGCTCTGCATTATCATCCTAATAATACAAAACAAAATAATAGTTAATATTATATTATGACTATAGCAATATACACGTACATACCAATATATACGCACAGGGTGAGTCTTAAATAAGTGCAAATATGTTTAGGGGTAGTATATTTCGACCCCAGAAAACACTATTATGAGTTTCTTTTCGCGAAAAAAAAATTTTGTAAATTGGGAATTTTTTGAAAAATGTTTTGGAAATTTTTTTAGCTTTTAGTTAAAAAACATAATTTCTTGATAATATAGCAACATAAGTAATTGATTAAATTTATAAGAAAGAAAATCCAGAAAAGATCCAGCGGTACTCAAAATTTAAGCAAAAAGAATTTTTTTGGAAAATTTCAAAGTAAAATAACTCGGTTATTTTGGATTTATTTGAAAAACGGCAAAGAGAAAATATGTTATTTTTATCATTATTTTTTTCTTTTCTACCAACCATGAAAATATTTGCACTTATTTGAGACTCACCCTGTATATTTACGAAAAAATAAAATATCCTACCTGTAAAGATTCAAATGCTCGAACAATCATATTCGGAGGTAAAAGAGGCAATGCAAAATATTTTCTTAATAATATTCTCCCATTCTCATTGTCATTAATTTGTCGGTGAACTCCCAACATCTTGGCTTTACGTAACACCGCCTGTAATACAAGGTAGGTATATTATTATTATTACATATTATTAAATTGAGATGATTATTAGTTATTATAAAGATACAATATATATGATCGAAAAAAGCATATATTGACATGATCGAAAAAACAAAATGCTCAGGAGACATTGTGCTGACCGAAAAGTAATATTTTAAGAAAATTTACTCACGAAATTATTTCACAGGATGTTTTAAAATTAGAGTAAAAAACAACCCGAATTTAAGAATTAAAGTTGATACGATATTTATATACAGATCACTAAAAAAATCATAAGATAGAGCTAAAAATACACAAACAACACTTAAAATTTGACGAAAAATTTTTCCTTTGCGTTTTTTTTGCATCTGAGTGTATAAAATTATATCGTTATATTATAAAATTAAATTATATAAAATATATATTCCTAAAATTATAAAATTTTATAAATGTCAAACAGGACATCGTTTTTTTTTCAATCATACTGGATATTATTATTATCACATTATATAAATTTAAATTTGAATACAACTCTATAGGTACCTGGCAAAAATGGAAAAAACATCCCCTGAGGGAAGCTTGTGGATAAGACGCTCTTAACGAATCTATAAGAGCAACCTCGTAGTCTGTTATGACGGTTTCGTTAACGAAATTTGGGAACGTTGTTAAAAGATATGCAAAAACAGCGTCATATAATCGTTTTGTCTTCCTTTCCATGAATATATGAACGATTGGAAAAGCCTAAAAGAAACATATTGTCAGTTAAAAAATATCACAAGTATTTATATAAAAAATATATATATAATTCAACATATTTGGCCATATATATATAATTCAACATATTTGGCCATTCTACATACATGATCCATGGAAGTTGCAAATATTGTTAAAATCTGACAAAAACTTGGCCGCCTAGGTACAACCTTAAATGTTCCATCTATAAAAACATACTGGGAAGCCCTAAAGTTTTGAATAAAATCTTGGTTTCCAAATATTATGGCCCGATGGTTATCAGATACTACCGAACCTGAAAAAAATGCTCCATTAGCGCAGTTGCTAAATCGAGGCCAATCACCAGTTTGCAAAATTATAGCTAATTCTTCCAAATTAGCTGGAATATTTGGTGTTGTTGCCTGTCTCCATCGCAGCATTGAACTACGCACAGAATTGAATGGAACAACAACTGCACCTTCTGGATTTCTAAAAAATATTCGAATTAATTATGGAGATATATCTTTTGATTCAACAACTTTGTCCAATAATTTTAAAAAAATTATAAATCAGATATAAAAATACCATAAAGAAGTACAGTAACAGTCGCCCATATTTTTTTAATCAGTCTACTCTTCTTATTAAAAACTTAATATCAGATATTGTTCTGATGCATAAATTTGTCCCTAAATGTATCAGTGTCGACACACGGCGTGATGAAAGCTTAAGAGTCAATTTTTCTATTTAATATTTTCTTACCTTATGCTCAATCTCTCATATATACTTTTTAAAGTACCCCTTTCGGTAACACATGCTTGTCTTAACTCTCTCTTAAAGTTCATTGCGTTGATATCATTCTCTTCTCTTGGATGATTATGATTACCATTAATTACCATAAACTGTTCTGCGACAACCTTTCCCGATGCTTGACATTGTAACTGTCGATAATACTTACATTTCATATATCTAAAAAATGCAATTATTTCTACAATATGATTTATATGTAATCAAATACATTTGTAATATACAGGGTCCGGCAATAGTGCATCGGGCATCTGTAGCTCCTACAATAAAAAAGTTAGGAATTTTGTTTAAGTGCAAACCTAAAGTATGTGTTAGGATGCATTTCAGGAAAATATTTTAACTTCTATAGGGTGGCTCAAAAAAGTGTGAGTGGATCGAGCATTTTTGGCTTCCTTTTTAATCACTTTACATAATCCTAAGATATTATTAAATATGTTTAGACAGTTTCAAAGATATTAATAAATAAATGAAAAAATAATTCTTTTCAGCCTTTTTTTAAAAAATGATTAAAAATACTAGATATGTCCTAAAATCAAAACTATATTAGGTATTTACTGTAGTGGGTCTGTAATTACTTTGACACAAATATCGTAATCTTAAACCGTACAGGGTGTCCAAAATTCTATGCGAAACTGTTTAAAATATAAAAAAGTTTTTCTTCGTTTTTTAAAATGGAACACCCTGTATATTATTTCTTTGTTGGATGAAGAATTAAAAAATAAACATTTTTTGTATTTAAAGTATTTCAAAATTTTTAGCGGTGTCGCAAATATTCGCGGTTTTATTGCATATGGCTCTTTCAAGGGTAAAATGCGAGAGAAAAATCATTGGATGGCTTTGATAAATTTACTGTGAAAAATGCCACATGAAATATAAAACTGCGAATATCTGCAAAACCGTTACACATTTTGAAATACTTTGAATACAAAAAGTGTTAATTTTTTAATTCTCCATCTAGCAAGTAAATAATATATAGGGTGTTCCATTTAAAAAAAATGAAGAAAAACTATTTTATATGTTAGAAAGTTTGGCATAGAGTTTTGAACACCCTGTATGTTTTGAAATTACGATATGTGTAGCAAAATAAGTACAGACCCATTACAGTAAATACCTAATACAGTTTTGATTTTAGAACATTTCTTGTATTTTTAATAATTTTTTTAAAAAAAAAGGCTGAAAAAAACAAGTTTTTTATTTATTTATTAATATCGTTGAAACCATCAAAGCATATTTAATAATATCGTAGGAATATATAAAGTGATCAAAAAGGAAGCCACAAATGCAATAATATACAGGGTGTTCCATTTAAAAAAAATTCATCCCGATCCACTCACACATTTTGGAGCCACCCTGTAGAAGTTAAAATATTTTCTTGAAATACATTCTAATACATACTTTAGGTTTGCACTCAAACAAAATTCCTAACTTTTTTATTACAAGAGCTACAGATGCCTGACGCACTATTGGCGGACCCTGTATACTTATAAGAATATACCATATATATGTATGAGGTGTGTATCAACGATAGACTAAGTTTATTATCTCGTTTGTTTTGATAACACAACAATGTGATACACAACTACCTAAACGCGCGCATAAATTTTAATTTAGGATGTTTTTTACTAGACCACTAAATGTTTCTCGCGAACGAATGGAACTTAGTTAATAAAATTATATACTTAAATAATGTGTAATATGTTGCAGAAAAATAATTAAAATAGTCAAAAATTAAAAAAAAAACATCCTGTAGCATCAAATTACTTACTATATCTTTTTCTTAATCTCTATAAAACTCACCAACCAATTTTGAGTATTTCAACTTCCGAAATAATTAAAGCTACTCAGTATTTTTCACTCATTCAAAACATTCTTTATACTCAAAATTAGTTTTGTTTTGCATCTTAACAGACCGTCTAATTATTAAATAAAATAATGCACTTCTATCGAAGATTGATAAAATATGTAAAAAGAATAAAATAAATTTTATTTAAAATTTAAGAAAGAAGAATATGAAGAATAAATAAAATTTAATTTATATTTAAGATAAGAATATTGTATGGGGTTTTGTTGACTTGGTTTAGTTTGCAGAATTCAAACTCCCCTTAGTATGGAGGCTAGCCTCCATACCCCTTAGTAATTGAATTGAATTCTGTAATATCTAAGATATATGTATATAAGATAAGTTTCAATATCCACCTTTTTACGGAAAGGGATTTAAGTAGAATCGTTATTAATGAATCAGTGCATGGAGTGGTCAGTCAGTTACGAATTTTATACAAGGTGGCTCAGGGTGTTCTGAGAAAGCTCTATATAAGATTTTTAGTTTAAGAATTTTAGTTCAATTTTTTGTAAAATATGTAGGCTAGAATAGCCATATTTTTCCCATTTTATTTTGATCAAAAATCATAGATATACAGGGTGAGTTTCAAATATATTTGGACACGATTATTGTCCTTTTTTTAAATAGAATGATGCACACATATTTTGCTTATTTTATTTACCATAAAGTTTCCATTCAAAAATAGTATTTCATAATCTACCGGGTTGTCTAAATATTTGCTACCCTATTAATTTTACAGCGAAGCCGTAAATAGATTTTTAAAGGTCAGCGTATGCCGAATACACATCCCAACATTGGAGAATTTTGAATAAGCCGATTTTAAGTAATTTAAATAAGTTAGTTTAATTTTTTTTTTATTTAAGTAATTTAACCCGATTTTAACTAAAAATGTAATAATATACAAGATGTTCCATTTAAAAAAATACAATTTTGATAATTTTTATTTATTTGGGACACTGTATATATTTTGAAAATAATTTTAAATTGTAGCTTTAGTAGTCCTCCTATTTCTAAACATCTAATTCTATTCTAAATCTAAATCATTTGGCTACAATACTCCGTATCTTATGAGATGAATAACCCTGTATATATACGTATTCAGTATACTATAACATACTTTAGAATAATTAATATTGAAAAGGAAACTAATTTAAAACATTTTAATTGAGAAAATAAGGAATTTGCTACTTTATAATTTTGTGAGAGCTTCAAATGTGCAGAAAATTTAGTATAATAATGGTCATATATCAAGAACTACTCGGTATTAGTTACGACATTATTGTATTTTTAGAATAGGAAAATTTTCCAGTATAAGAAATAATATATACTGTGTGTTCATTAAAAAATTACTAATCAAGTGTAAAAATAAACTATAAATAAAGAAACTATTTTTTTGTACTGGTATTGTGGCCAAAACTCAAAACTATCTGAGGACTTTTTATATAAAATAAGCAATATCGTATGATAATTTAATTTACGTAATAAGTAAATTGTTTTACCTTATATCATTTCTTACGTGTCTTGTCGTGTATAAATATCCATCATTGGAAATAACATATGTTCTTCTATTCTCCATCTTTTAGTTTACTTACCTAAAGGTAATTTTATTAACAAACAAACTATTAACAGTTTCAAAACACAAACTATTTCACTTACTATATGTTTATTAGAATATTAACCGGTGGATGATAAAACAATAAAATTAGTAAAACAAATTGCTCATAATATTAACCGCTTAATATTAGATCAAATATTTCTTTTTAATTGAGGAATAGGGCAAGTCGACGCCGACGGTCCACAAATCGCAATTGATCTTAATATTCTAATTTGGAAACTGAAAAAGTAACCATTTAAAAAAGTGTTAACTCAGGAGAAATGTATCCATGAATATATTTTTCATCTACCGGATCCGATTACATGTAAACATTCAGCGCTGTAAATGAATTAGGCCTCAAACAAAGACTTTAAGGAATTATTATTTTTCATAGACCAAACAAAATAAATCGAAAATATTATTCACTGAATCATCCAAATATAAGTTTAGTTTAGTTTAGTTTATTAATTCCTTTTAATATAAATACATGGTACTTAGATTATAGGATCGTCGAAAAATATATACAGAAACAACAATTTTTGACATAAAATCATACAAATACAACTATAAAACAAATATATACCGTTTTTATACACAAACAAAAACAATTCTAAAGAAAAAATATTATTATATATCTGCTGACAAGCCTGGAATTTCCGGCTTCCGGAAGAATTCGTCTAGGGTGTAGTAGCTCGTTAATATAAAAAATTTCTTTAAATTAAACTTATTTTTTTTGTTTAGGTTTAGAGAGACTCTACGAACACCCCTTCTCATTTTATTTAAACACCTTCTCCCAAATATCGATGGGTTGTGTTGCCCCATAGTAAGGCGCGTACCTATATGGGATATCAAATTCATCTTTGTAGCGGGTGTTGTGACTGTGAACTTCCCGTCGCACAGTGGGGCTCTTGCATATGTTAAAGAGCGGTCATAAGTGATTTTGGAAAAATTAAACTATATGACATACTGTTAAACTTTTTGAATAGTAGTACCATTGATTTAAAAAAAACAACAACAAATTTTTTGAATAAAATTTGTAACCATGTTTTTTTTTTAAAACCCATCACATTTAATTGTCTTTTTCGCTTAGTGATAGCAAATAAGAATCTAAATATTCCTGGAGGCTTTAAAAAACCCGAGATGATTATTATTTTTCATATTTTAAAGAAAAGGTTTTCTCTACCTTTTGGACTATTACTAAGAAAGTTCTGAGATTATTATTATGTATTAATTTTTCATGTTTTTTTAAATGTCGTTTTTATCCATATTTTTATAGTTTTCAAAATACCAAAAAAATACTATCGACGCTTATCGACGTTTCCTCTTATCGCAAATAATATTGTTTGAGGAATGTATTTGTTTATAAACAAAAAATGGTCTGCCGAATTCTGCCTATTTATGCGATATATTTATTTGAAATCGTCCGTGTTTCTCAATAGACCGCAACACAATTTTAAGGTACGTTTTTTCAGAAAAGACAATAGTCGAAAATTTTCACAGTGTGCCACAAATCAAGATATTTTTAATTGTCTCCTGATATCCTCCGACCCTTATTTGGCTGCATTTCGGCATATATGGAAGAAAAGTGAATGTTTAGAGCTGGGTGATGAAGCCAAAGAACTCGTTTTATAGAACATATTACTGAGTTGGTTGAGAATATGTTTTCTTAAATAAATATTATTTTCTACTTTTACGTTCAGAGTTGTAATGGTGGTTTACTTTTTTTGTTTTGTGAAATATATATTTTTTTAATTTTATACTTCAGGTTTATTTTAGTATTGTTTAATGTTTCTTTTAAGTATGGAAATC